CCTCCTGTGTTGATTGCCCTCCCTTCTCATAATTCGCCAATAGATGCATCGTTCGAACGGATAAAAAGGTTAGTTCCGCCACGGGAGCTCGCTGAACCTCGGACGAAGGCTGAGAGCCAGGGTGCAAAGGGCTATGACGCTTGGTCCCTTTTCGCTTACGCAATTCAACATTCAATTTTGTTTTTGTTGAGATGAAAAGCTCCTCGAAGTCATCGCGCACCACACTACCAATTTCATCAAAGTCCAGCTGCTCAAGTCTGTTGTGGATCTGGAAAAAGGCAGTCTTGATCTCGTCCAGGCGTTGAACACGAAGCTCCAATTCCTCCACGCTCATTTCCTGGAGCTTGTCGGCAGTCAGGGCCTTCTCGAAGGCTTTCGTTTTGGAAAGCATTGACTCAGCCTTCAGCTTGAGACATTTTGCTCCCGCAACTGGAGCAGAAACAGTTTGGTTCGTTGACATTTTATTAAGTTTGATTTTAATTGCTTGAGAATTTATCACTTGCACACTAAAAAAGTTCCACTGTGCAATGATTAGCGCCAAAATTCTAAGCCAGCGAAAACGAAGCGGAATCTATGTGTAAGCCTATTGCATATGCAATGTAGGCAATGAACCCGCGCACAAACGTTTTTCGCCGCTGTAAAACGTTCAAAGCGGGAACGAAGGCACAAAGCGAATACGAAAATGCACTTTACGATGCGCGGGGGCGGGCGTGTACGAGACTCTAGCGAAGTTTATGTACATACATATATGCGCGATCACCAACTTTAACCGAACGAAAATAATAAAATTATTTGTTCGATTTTTCGAATTTTTATTGTTTCAGTATCACTATCACGTCGGGGTCACCAAAATGTTGGGTCAGTGAGCTGATGGTGGTGCCCAAGTAAAATAATAACGCACAAATTTCGACTTAAATATGCACTTATTTATTAACCTGGCACCAAGGCCTTAAATGTACAAAGTTAGCTTGTTGTAGTAGATTTAGTTAGGCAGGCAGACCGAATTGTCTGTGCCTATTTTTCAGCGAAAGGGTATGTTGGGCAGGCAGACCGATTTGTCTGTGCCTTTTGCAGCGAAAGGGTAGGTTAGCAGGCAGACCGATTTGTCTGTGCTTTAGACGAAAGTATGATGGGCAGGCAGACCGATTTGTCTGTGCCGTTTTAGTCGCGAAAGTATATAAAGCCGAGATTTGGCAGGCGATCAGCGATCGTGCCTTCTATGTGCGTGTACAAATTCGAACTGTTATGAAGCTTGCCGTGGACTAATGCCAGGAAGCGATAAGCGAACAAGTGCAAAGGTAGTTAGCAATGACAATCAAAACAGTGCTGCCGCGCAGGGCAAATAGCAAAATAAAGGGAGAACATCGAGAATTTGGTTTTACGTTACGATTTGAAATTAGTGGTTCCGATTTGTCCGAAGGTGGTTCTCAAAATGTAATTCCACCTAACCAACCAAATATACCCCCACAAGAGGCTTCTGAGACCGGACTACCGGCCCAAATTGCCACCGCAGGCCCACTGCCTGCAGTAGCAAAACCCCTCACAGTGGTTCCACAAATGAGACAAATATTTGTTTCTCGGCTGGCCCCTGATCTCACATCATTTGATGTCACGTCTTACATTAAAGACAAAATTAATGCCGATAAAGTAAAGGTGGAAAAATTCAATTTTTCATACGCTAGGAACATTTCATCTTTCAAGATAAGTGTTCCTGACGAACTTTTTAACACCATATGCTCGAGCGACTTTTGGCCAGCAAAAATGGTGGTTAAGGAGTTCGTAGCGAAAATAAAAAGAAAGGCCCTACGGGAATTAAACTCCCCGGCCGGGACCAACAAACCGCGCCGTCTTTACCCCCAAAAAACTAACCACTAACCTCCTAATTAGCTATCAGAATACAAGAGGTTTGCGTAGCAAGCTAACCAAATTGTATACTGATAGCTTTTCGTTTGCATCCCAAGTTATTGTGTTCACAGAAACCTGGTTAAAGCCGGAGATCTTTAGCTCCGAAGTTTTTCCCGGTAAGTACACAATATATAGGCATGACCGTCCCTCTAGACGAGGAGGGGGCGTCCTTATTGCAGTGGACGCTAACCTCACGTCAGAAGAGGTTTTGACAGAAGATCATTTAAACTTTGAGCTAGAATTTGTATGCGTAAAACTGTCTGTTGCTGGCAGGTTAATTTTAATTACCTGCTCTTACATACCTCCTTCGTCCGAACTTGAGGACTATTTTAGGCACCTATCAGTTATAAAGTCAATTTCGAGTTCTTTGTCCGATATGGATCAGTTAGTAGTTCTAGGTGATTTTAATATACCTGGAACTACGTGGTCCTCGGATGATAATTCCAATGCTTTACAACCCTTAGGCCAAAATGAATTCATTGACGGTCTACTTGACATACCTCTGTGTCAGGTAAACCATGTTCGAAATTCTTTAGATCGCTTACTTGATTTGTGCCTCGTCTCAAATCCTGAAAGTGTTGTTCTTTCTAGAGCTACTCCACTTACGCTGCCTGAAGATCCATATCACCCTGCTTTCGAGGTGACTATCGACATTGGTATAACAGTAAAAAATAATGCTTTAAAGTCAGCCAAGCGAATTCATTGTTTTCGCAAGGCTAACTTTCTGAGACTTAATCATCTTATATCTGGCAATGACTGGTCCGATCTCTATTCCTGCAATAATATGGAAGACGCCATTACAATTTTTTATTCGGCAATCAAACTGTTTTTTAACTCGTGTGTTCCGCTATATAACCCGTCAACATCCCATAAACCACCTTGGTTTAGTAAGGAGTTAACACACCTTAGGAATGTAAAGTCCAGACTTTATAAAAAATATAAAATTTCAGGTTGTCAGTCTGTTTTTGGAAAATACATAAGAGCTCGGTCAAACTTTACCGTGCTTAACGCTCAGTGTTACAAAAATTATTTAGTCCGTTGCAGGTCCCAGTTTTTACGGGATCCCAAACAGTTCTATAATTTTGTCAACACTAAGCGCAGATCATGTTCCTTTCCGCCTTCGCTTTCGTTTGAAAGTAGGACGGCTAACACTGATCAGGCAATAGCCGATCTGTTTGCCCAATTCTTTCAAACAACTTACTCAACAGTGTCTTCAAGTGAGCAATATTTATACGCAATACCTAAGTCGAACCTAATATTTCGTCCCACCTTAAACGAAAGCTCCCTACTTTTGGATCTTCAACGTGTTACACCAGTTTACTCCCCAGGTCCTGACGGGATTCCTGGGTGCGTTCTTAAACACTGTGCAAATGCATTGTGTAAACCCCTTCTCAAGCTGTTTACCCTATCCCTACAAACTTGTCAGTTTCCCCTTATTTGGAAGGAGTCATTTGTTATTCCCCTTCATAAAAAGGGAAGCAAGTCGGATGCTTGCAATTATAGAGGTATTTCTAAATTGTCAGCAATTCCAAAGCTTTTCGAACGTGCAGTAACCCCCCACTTGCAGCACCTTTGTAGATCAATCATATCTCCATGCCAACACGGATTTATGAAACGCAGGTCTACCACAACAAATCTTCTAGAGCTCACATCCTTCGTGATAGATGGCTTTAAAAATAATTTCCAAACTGATGTCATTTACACAGACTTCAGTAAAGCATTTGACTCTGTAAATCACTTCCTAATGATTCGCAAACTTGACATGATGGGGTTTCCAGCAGATCTTTTAAGTTGGATCTTTAGTTATCTCAGTGGCCGAACTCAAAGAGTCCTTTTCAAAAATTCCTTAAGTGGTCTCCTCAGAGTTACCTCTGGTGTACCACAAGGAAGCCATCTGGGACCATTACTTTTCACTTTGTTCATTAATGATCTTCCATCGATCATTACGCATTCCCGCGTACTTATGTACGCGGACGACGTAAAACTCTGTCTGCAGTATAATGATTGCTCCCGTCATTTAAGCCTTCAGGCAGACCTAAACAATTTTCAAAACTGGTGTCACGACAATTTACTAAAATTAAACAGCTCCAAATGCAAGCTGATGACGTTCTGTCGGGTCAATCCGCATAACGTCACCTATTCGCTAAGTGGTGGTGCCTTGGAAAGAATAGCGCTTGTTGACGATCTTGGCGTCCTATTGGACCCCAAACTTAAATTCACTCTGCATATTTCGAGCATGGTTAATAAAGCTAGGGGAATGCTTGGATTTATTAAACGATGGTCGAAGGAATTTGAGGATCCTTACGTTACCAAGGCTTTATTTATATCGTTGGTCCGGCCAATCCTCGAGTATGGGGCACCCGTTTGGAGTCCTCAATACGGAGTACATGCTGATCGCATTGAATCAGTACAAAAAAACTTTTTAATTTTTGCACTACGCCGCCTTAACTGGAATGCAAACCTATTCCTACCCTCATATTCGCATAGATTGCTCCTCATTAACCTGCCCTCCCTTACTAACCGTAGAACGATGCTTGGTACTGTATTTATTCATAACCTTATACGTGGTGATATTGACTGTCCTTATTTGCTGAGTAGACTAAATTTCTCGGTACCAAGTAGATTAACTAGAAATTATGTTCCTTTAGTTTTAAATCAGTGTAGACGTAATTATAACGTGCATGAGCCTTTCAGAGTACTTTGTTCTGACTACAATAGACTTTTTCCTATTTTATCCTCTTCTGACTCTCTGCAGCTCCTTAAGCAATTAGTTTTAACATTTCTGGCACATAATTAGATTGCTAAATTTAAACTTAAATTAAATTTAAAATTTTTCTTCGTTTTTAATTTTTTTTTCTTAATTAACATCGCGTCAAATTTTCCGCGAATCGTGCCGTACGATACACGGCTGTCGCCCCTCGGTCGGTTGGGCGGGTGGTGGGCCGTGGGACTACGCGCGTGAAAAAAAAAAAAAAAAAAATTTAGGCTGCGGCATGACCAAACAGATTTTTTGCTATATTTTTTTTCTTGCAATCAATATGATTATCTTTACAATGATTTGTTTAAAATTCCTTTTTATCATATCTTTCTTTCAGAGAACAACAGTTACTGAACATATTTGACATTTTTATAAGCACTCTTGAAGGTAAACTAAAACGAGTTGATAGTCTTGATAAAACAGTTGATGAAATCATGCAAAATATGGATGTGTTACAAAATCGCGTAGCGGACAACATAGAAAAAACTGATTTAATTATATCTCAGCTGAATGAAATAGGGAAATCAATTTCTAACGGCATGCCCATTCAGTCTCCGTATATAGAGGTTTTCGACCAAACTACAGAGCAGATACGAAATTCTTCCATTTTTTTCAAGAAAGAAATCGTTAAGTTGGATGGAAAAGTAACTGATATAGATAATAAGCTTGAAGTCCTGAAAGTCCAAATTGACAATAATTTTTTGCAAGTTGAAGACTTTAATGGCGAAGCTAGTGAGAAAAAACCTGTCACAATAAATGTGAGCGATATTACAAAAGCGTTGAGTTCTGAAGCTATGACACATGTTTCATCTGAATTAAGTGAACTTCGAGATTCAACTAATAGCATTGATAAGAAATTACAATTTCATATAAACATAGTTTCTGAAAATATTGCGAAGATGATAAGTATGATTCATGACATTCATTTTGCTGTGGTCGATAGTAACAAAGAACTAAAAACATTTAATTTAACAACGGAGCAGGCTCCAATTAAATCAAGCAAACTTGATATTCTACCTAAACAAAAGAGACCTATGGTTGTGTCTGAAAAAATTGATGAAGTTTGGGACGTCGTAGTTGACACAAAATCAACTGTGGATAATCTTCTTCCCAAGTCCGCTGCTCTTCTAACACAAACTCAACGCCAAGAACGAGCAATAGATGAAATTCATCAGGATCTTAAAACGAAAACCAATTTAATTATTAACAATTTAGATATGGTTGAAAAACGGTTAAAAAAACATGAAAATTATGTTCAAAAATTAGCTAACCTACCTGATCACTCTGAGCTTTTACCAAATGGCACTTTTGACAGCTTCTCCGAACAAGACACAAATAAGTAAGTAAACCTATATTGTCTTAATATATTTATTAAACAATTTATTATTTTAAGCCGCGCTATATTTGATACAACTTTAAAACCATCTATAATGACCACTATTCAACCTACAACATTTACATCCTCAACTGAAGATAATATAATGCTGGGTCAATTATACACAATGTCATCAACCGTCAACACTACTTATAATGCATCGAAAACAGCAGTTCGAAAAGATGGAATTATTTTTCCAAGCATTAAAAAAAAACCAGCTATTCAGAATAACACGGTTTTTAATGATGTTGTATCGCTAAAGGATTATAAAGTAAGTTTTAATAAACAATATATGAACTTACAATTTAAGGGATGCTTCTCGGTACTAAAAAGGTGTAAACGCACCATGACTTTGTTGCAAAATACTCAATATCTTTTTCTAGGTAACTTTGTCATATTCTTTATAAGAACGAAAAGATTTTATTTTAGCTCTAACTAGAGTTCGGATTGACAGAATTATGTTTTCGTGGTTTGGTAAACTGCCTCATCCGTGTCAGCTGCCTCCACGATCCGGGTGGAATACCGCCGCCGAATCTTTTGGAGTTGTACTATCTGGGCTGGGGAAGCGACACCGTTCCCACACTAGTGTGAACAGGTGCCGTGCTCTTAAGGCGTACGCCCTTTGCAACAGTAGCCTCCTGCCCCCTTGCTCTGTCCCGGCCGGACCACTGGATGTTGGCCCAGTTCTCAACGTCGGTCTAAGCGTACGCCCTGTATCCGTCAAATAATCTTTGAACGAGACGCTATGTCCACACGAACGTTCCACCCTAGCCTCCACTGCTGTGTGGCCTTTGACTCCCGGGATCTGCTGCTCTAGGAATCTGGAGACACCGTAGGGTTCTCGACGTACACTCCTTTAAAACCCGTACAGTTCAACTGCCCATCCTTCTCCGTAATCCTCGCCACGAGATGGATCAAGCACACGTCTGGTCGCAATAGCCTTGTTTTAGCCGCGTGACGCCTACAGGACCTCAGCTACCTGTGTCTCAATTCGGAGACCTGAGGACTTAAATTCCGAATGTCTCGACGTAGCTAACTTCCTCCTTGTACGCTCAGCTGCTTGTACTTCTTTTTGCCATTGCCCACGATGCTCCTTGTAGCTTGTGCCGCGATGATCCTGTTTTCTTGTCGAATGTTGAATACTCGCGCTCTGCGTTTTGCTCAGTGATGTATGCTCGTATTTCGTTTCCTGCCAACTGATGTATACTCGCGTTTTGCTTCTCGCTGACTCATCCCCACCGAAGCGTGGACTCCGCTTATATTGGCCACCACGACGGTGTTTCCTATTCCGCCCGAGATGTTTCCCTCTTCTTTCCCTCTCTTTGTTTTCGAGCCTCTTGGTATCTCTTCCCCTCGCCCTCTGGTCACACTGACTTCTTTTCGATCTGTTGCTACCGCCATGCGGCAAATCCTTCGACCGCCTTCTACAGACGGTGTTCCCGGGCTCAGACTATATCTCCTATTCTGGGCTTCTATTCTCTCCATCTCAGGTTGTAGTGTCTGCTCTTATCTTTAGCGGTCATTTCTAAATTGCGACGCTCGACTTCAAACAACTCCGAGTTTCTGGGCGTTTTCGGTTGGTTCTCCGTTACCTTTACTGTTTCTATTGTTTCTTGGTCAGACAAGCTGTTTCGCAGTCGTGGTTCAAGCCATTGACGGGGAAAGGCTGGAAAATAACCAGTCGAGTCCGACACGCTCGAGTTGGCTGCTTGCATGAGTTCAAGCCATTTCTCTGGTCCTCTTCCGTGAATTGTGCTGTCATTTTCTTTCCCGTTCTATTGGCCCGTTTTGTCGTTCCATTTCGCTTAGAAACTTTTTGAACGCATTGCTTGCGAACTGTACTCCGTTGTCCCTTCTCTGAAAAACTAGAAACATCTGGATTTAGGTCCCACAAACTCAGGATCCGGCCGCCGGACGCGCAATTGTTCTTTGGGTGCCTCTATGCCCAGCTATTGGTGAGTCATTGTTGTTCCACGAAACTGTTCCTCGCATATCGTGCTGTACACGCAGCTACCAAGCAAGCTACCTCGTCCTCATTGCCGGCCCTGCAATACGTAATCCGGGAATTTCTGTTGCTGGGTTTTTACTTTCTGGTGCATGTCCTTAATCCAGCCTCCATCATCCAATACTCCCTCTTTGGCTATTAGCAATATTTCCGGCAACGGTTGTCTGGATAGAGTATCGGCTACCACGTTCAGCTGACTCTTTCGGTAACTTACTTTGCAGTCATACGGCTGCAATCATAGGGCCCACCTTGCGATTCATCTGAAAGGGCTCTCGATGCTGTTTAGCCATTTCAATGCCAAATATTTCGTTACTACCCCTTCCAGGTACGGGTTGCCCAGACGAGGGCTAGGCATTCTTTCTCCGTAGTGGAATAGTTATTCTCCGCCCCATTCAGGGTTCGACTCGAGTATGAGATAACCTTCTCGCCTTCCTGGCAAGAGATCCAGTCGTTATCTCATACTTAGAATCGCCCCCTATCGCTGGCATCTGTTTGCGAAGTGAATGGCTTTTCAAAGTCTGGACAGGTCAGCAGGGGGTACACTACCTTTTCTTTACTTCTTCGAACGCCTTTTGGTGTTGCGGCGTCCATACCCACTTTGTACCTTTCCGGAGAAGATCGTTTAACGGATTTAATATTCTTGCGAAATCTGGCACGAATCGGTGGTACTACTACGCTCCGCCCGAATATCCTATTCCTTGGCTTGTCACACGGTATCCCAGGCACAAAAGCTCTGGCTTGAAGAATTGACATTTTTACGGGCTTATTTTTAAATTGGCTTCCTTTAAGCGCTTGAACACGTTATTGAACACCCTTATTAAATAACTTTATTTTTGTATTTTGAAAAACCTATGTTTTTGAATTTAATTTTTTAAATTTTTCGTTTTAATTAAAAAATTAATTTGATTTATTTTAAAAACCTATTACAAACACAGCAACCATAAAATAATCAAAAAAAAATTTTTTTTCCTCCTTTTGCTTAGTGCGTCTTCCGGTTATAACGACGAAAAATGGTCGGTCCCTTTAAAGTCGTTATAACCGGATTCTACTGTACTTGCATCCGACTTGTTCCTCTTTTTATGAAGGGGAATAACAAATGACTCCCTCCAAACATGGGAAACTAACAAGTTTGTAGGAATAGGGTAAACAGCTCGAGAAGGGGCTTACACAATGCATTAGCACAGTGTTTAAGAACACACCCAGGAATCCGGTCAGGACCTGGGGAGTAAGCTGGTGTAACACGTTGAAGATCCAAAAGAAGGAAGCTTTCGTTTAAAGTGGGACGAAATATTAAGTTCGACTTAGGTATGGCGTATAAATATTGCTCATTTGAATGAGACTCTGTGGAGTAAGTGGTTTGAAAGAATTGGGCAAACAGATCGGCTATTGCCTGATCACTATTAGCGGTCATACTTTCAAACGAAAGCGAAGGCGGAAAGGAACATGATCTGCGCTTAGTGTTGACAAAATTATAGAACTGTTTGGGATCCCGTAAAAACTGGGACCTGCAACGGACTAAATAATTATGGCAGGAGTACAGATCAGTTAGCCCTGCGAAAACAATGAGTTCGCATGGCTGCCTTTATAGCATTATTTTTAACTGTTATACCAGTGTCGGTAGTCAACTCGAAAGCAGGGTGATAGGGATCTTCAGGCAGCGTAAGTGGTGTTGCCCTAGAAAGAAAAACAGTTTCAGGATATAAGACAAGGCACAAATCAAGTAAACGATCTAATGAGTTTCGAACATGGTTTACCTGACACAAAGGTATGTCAAGTAGACCATCAATGAATTCATTGCGGCCTATAGGTTGTAAAGCATTGGAATTATCATCCGAGGACAATGTAGTTCCAGGTATATTAAAATCACCTAGAACTACTAACTGATCCATATCGGAGAAAGAACTCGAAATTTACTTTATAACAGATAGGTGCCTAAAATAGTCCTCAAGATCGGACGAAGGAGGTACTTAAGAGCAGGTAATAAAAATTAACCTGCCAGCAACAGACAGTTTTACGCATAAAAATTCTAACTTTAAGTTCAAAGGAACATCTGTCAAAACCTCTTCTGACGTGAGGTTAGCGTCCACTGCAATAAGGACGCCCCCTCCCCGTCTAGAGGGACGGTCATGCCTATATATTGTGTACTTACCGGGAAAAACTTCGGAGCTAAAGATCTCCGGCTTTAACCAGGTTTCTGTAAACACAATAACTTGGGATGCAAACGAAAAGCTATCAGTATACAATTTGGTTAGCTTGCTACGCAACCCTCTTGTATTCTGATAGCTAATTAAGAAGTTAGTGGTTAGTTTTTTGGGGAAGGAGCTAAGGACGGCGCAGTTTGTTGGTCCCGGCCGGCGAGTTTTATTCCCGTAGGTCCTTTCTTTTTTATTTTTGCTACGAACTCCTTAACCATTTTTTTTGCCGGCCAAAAATCGCTCGAGCATATGGTGCTAAAAAGTTCGTCAGGAACATTTATCTTGAACGATGAAATGTTCCTAGCATATGAAAAGGTAAATTTTTCCACCATCACGTTATCGGCATTTATTTTGTCTTTAATATAAGACGAAACATCAAATGATGTGAGATCAGGGTGTAGCCGAGAAACAAATATTTGTTTCGCTTGTGGAATCACAATGAGGGGGTTTTGCTACTGCAGGTTGTGGAGCTGCAGTGACAATTTGGACCGGTAGTCCGGTCTCAGAAACCTCTTGTGGGGGAATATTTAGCGGATTAGGTGGAATTACAGCTGTCGCTTTAACAACGCTGCTGCGAGAGAGAGAGAGAGAGAGTCGAAGTGCAATGCCGACGTCACACTGTGTGTGCAGACCTCATAGTCTATTCCATGAGATGTCCTGTTATATTTCTAGTTTTTTCTCCTTTTTTTCCGAGTAAAACTGAATGTTTTAATTTTCCATATGCAATATGTGCAATAATACGCTCATTCAGTTTTCAGTATTTAGAAAAACCTATGTTTTTGAATTTAATTTATTAAATTTTTCGTTTTAATTAAAAAATTAATTTGATTTATTTTAAAAACCTATTACAAACACAGCAACCATAAAATAATCAAAAAAAAATTTTTTTTTCCTCCTTTTGCTTAGTGCGTCTTCCGGTTATAACGACGAAAAATGGTCGGTCCCTTTAACGTCGTTATAACCGGATTCTACTGTACTTGCATCCGACTTGTTCCCCATTTTATGAAGGGGAATAACAAATGACTCCCTCCAAACATGGGAAACTGACAAGTTTGTAGGGATAGGGTAAACAGCTTGAGAAGAAGTTTACACAATGCATTAGCACAGTGTTTAAGAGCACACCTTGGAATCCCTTCTGGACCTGGGGAGTAAACTGGTGTTACATGTTAAAGATCCAAAAGTAGGGTGCTTTCGTTTAAAGTGGGACGAAATATTAAGTTCGACTTAGGTATTGCGTATAAATATTACTCACTTCAATGAGACACTGTGGAGTAAGTTGTTTGAAAGAATTAGGCGAACAGATCGGCTATTGCCTGATCAGTATTAGCCGTCATACTTTCAATTTTTTTTTTTTAACAGTTTCATAATTGCTTTATTTTATAAAAACAAAATTGGTTTTGTTAAATTCAAAGGTCGTCGAAAGTGATACACGCATAGAGGCTTGTAAAAATTTCGAGAACAATTTCAACTTTGACATTAATTATACCACAAAAAAAAATTAAAATGATTGCATAGATAGCTGGCATTATTTACAATAACTATTTTACAGGAAAAGAGGCGAAGTCGTAACTCTCAGCAATTCACAGCAAAGGTGTTTAAGCGTTGGTAAGCTTCAAATTTACATCAGACTGCGAAGAAATATAGCCCGCCAGGTAATCATTGTGAAGGTGAGAACTCAGTTGGAGCAAGAACGCGGCAGTGCATCTCGCGAATTAATGGCAAACAGATATTGAAGATGACGGGATCGCAAGAGCTTCGAACGCTCTTGCATCAAACTGAGGTACTTCGGGTCGTTCCAAAGATCTTCCTTTGCCTGGTCAATCTTCTCAAAACTTCCGGTGTACTTCCAAAGGTGCAAGCATTGATCCATATCGCTCACCTGAACGGTCCATGATGCCACCAAATCGCAAGAAAGATTGGCCTTCTTATCGTTTATCAAACCAACAGTGTTTTTGTAGTTATTCAAATAGTTTCCCATCGAATCGGGCCTAACGTTGTGCGTGTGTAAAGCATAAATAATTTCCTTGTCGCTTAGCATTTGACTGTGCGATTCCTTCGTTTTTCGAACGAGTAGTTTTGAAAACTATGATTCTGAATCGTTGCAGGTTGAAGTCGTGGAAAGACACTGGACAGCGTTGTTGTTGTTGCTATTTTCGACGGCCAATAAGTTACGTACCTTCAATTATATATTGTGATATGCAGGCGATGATTTTGAGATGAGAATTTTTATTTGCTTGCCGGATTGCTAAAAACTAAAACAATATTCAAATGAAATGTTAACGTTGAAATGAAGTGAAAGCGAAGGCGGAAAAGAACATGATCTGCGCTTGGTGTTAACAAAATTATATAACTGTTTGGGATCCCGTAAAAACTGTGACCTGCAGCCGACTAAATAATTTTTGTAACAGTGAGCGTTAAGCACGGTAAAGTTTGACCGAGCTCTTATGTATTTTCCAAAAACAGACAGACAACCTGAAATTCTATATTTTTTTATAAAGTCTGGACTTTAAATTCCTAAGGTGCGTCAACTCTTTGCTAAGCCAAGGTGGTTTATTGGATGTTGACGGGTTATAGAGCGGAACACACAAGTTAAAAAACAGTTCGATTGACGAACAAAAAATTCTAATGGCAACTTCCATATTATTAAAAGAATAGATATCGGACCAGTCATTGCCAGATATAAGATGATTAAGTCTCAGAAAGTAAGCCTTGCGAAAACAATGAATTCGCTTGGCTGCCTTTGTAGCATTATTTTTAACTCTTACACCAGTGTCGATAGTCACCTCGAAAGCAGGGTGATACGGATCTTCAGGCAGCGTAAGTGGTGATGCTTTGGAGAGAAATAGAGTTTCAGGACTTGAGACAAGGCACAAATCAAGTAAACGATCTAATGAGTATCGAACATGGTTTACCTGACACAGAGGTATGTCAAGTAGACCGTCAATGAATTCATTTTGGCCTATGGGTTGCAAAGCATTGGAATTGTCATCCGAGGACTATGTAGTTCTTTGCAGGTAATTGTACAGAATATTCACCAGAGTCTAAACGACGAAAATTTGTCACGAAATGAACCTCAGCTGCCTTCATAGTAGAAGATCCACCTTCTGTTGCGATCCAACCAAGCCTCGTTTTCTGCAATAGGGGTATCCTAGCAGCCATCTTAATCTGCCCTACAGATAATAACTCAAAATACATGCCGATGAGAAGATCTACACGCTGAGATTTATAAAATTCAGGATCGGCCAACTGAATATTAGCGGAAATTTTCCGGCCATCGAGCTTAACTGTAAAACTGGGTTGATTGTCAGTAATCGCTGGAGCAACAAGAGCAGATAGACATCCGAGGTAATCGAAGGTATGCGACTTTAGCTTAATGCAAACGGAAACTCCTTCAGAGTCAAATCGAGCATCTCCAACAACAGATACAGATAGCTATAAATGGAATGACCACTGTTGTCACACACAATACATCCATGTCCCGAAGTGTTGGTGGAAATTAAGATGCTTTTGTTACGGGTTTTTCCTGATTGTGAACAATTTGAGTACAAAGCTTCAGTGTGCTCTTCGTTTTCCAATTTTTGACAACGCTTGGACAAAAATGTAGTAAACTGATTAATCGAAGAAATTTCATCAATTCTGCTGATTCTTCCCAATTGACCTAAATAAGAACGCAGTTTGACATTTGCTCTACCGAACCCATTGACTGAAGACCACGTAGATTAGCATTTATTTTATCAGACAGCATTATCATTATCAGCATTTTTAAAATATCTCTTAGTTTCGTAGCAGACTGCACAAAATGGCCATTATGTGAGATTGGAAAATTAGATGCTTATTAGTGAAACGGTTATTCAACAAAATGGCCATTATGTGAGATTGGAAAATTAGATGTTTTTTATTGAAACGGTTATTTAACAAATCCAAGGCTACAGCATAATTGTTTTCACAAATTTCCAATGAACTGTATCCTTCAGGCAAGCCTCTAAATGCAGCAACTTCTCAATGTTAGTGAGCTCAACGTCGTTGTCGATGATGGCCTTGAACACAGACTGAAAATCGGCAAATTCGGTATATCCACCAGAAAATACAGGCAATCTCAATTCAGGTAAATTAGATTATTTAGCCGCTCACGCGGAATGGAAATTCCTGGATAGCCCTGGCCTTAGTGTGGAACTACGAATTGCTTGACGCTTTCGTTCATCCAAGGCTCGACTTAACATAATTTTTGCTGATTAACTCCCCAAAGACATCGTGAACCATGCTGCCAATTTCATTAAAATCCAGCTCCTCAAGCCCGTCATGGACCTAGATAAATGCAGCCTGATTCTCGTCCAGGCGTTCAACACGAAATTCCAATTCTTCCTCACTCATTGCCTGGAGCTTCGCCACAGTCAGGGACTTCTCAAAGGCTTTAGCTTTAAAAGCATTGACTGTGCCTTTAATTTAAAATATCTTGCTTCCCCAACTGGAGCAGAAAGAGTTGTGTCTGTTGACATTGTAATAAATTTGCTTTTATTTTATCACTTGCAAACTAATTAAACTCCACTGTGCAATGATTTAAGCCAAAATTTTATGTGCGTCTATTTGCATATATGCAATATAGGCAATGAACTCGCGAAACAAAAAGCGGGAACGGAGGCGCGGGGCGGGTGTGCGAGACTCTAGCGAAGTTTACAGCTTGCGCTTATGTAAATAGAACAACTTTGAACCGAACGAAAATAATAAAATTAATTATATGGTTGCACTTTAGTTTTAGATTGTTCGAATTTCTATTGATTTTGTATCACGTCGGGGCCACCAAAAAGTTGGGTGTAAATGCCTCCAAAATAAAGACACTTACTGGTTAAGATTTGGTAGGAAACTGAATTTATTCTGTCTTGTGTTCGATATATATAGGAAATATTTCTATGAATCTACGGCATACGCAGAGGCCGCGTTTGCTATCAAAGCGGGAGAGTTATCTTTGACCCTCGTACATCAACCTTTTGGTGTGTACAAATCTTACAAAGATAAGTATATTTTTAGACTAAAATAGCCTGTACTTAAAACTATGAGTGTCAGCAGCACTCCTCGCTTATTGATAGTGTTTTATTAAAATTTTTAGTGAAAGGTTACCTCGACCCAACTGGATCTATTGTACCCCCTATCTGAGCTTAGAGCTCACCCATCAACCCGGCTCCTTCGATAAGGTTAAGAAGCTTTATCGGGTCGATGCTTCCAGAGGTCCCAAGTATAAGGAACCTGGACCCGAGGGTTCTGCTCCTCAGGCTACTTAGTGCTGGGCAATCTGATATTATGTGTAGGGAGGTTTCATCCTCGCTATCACAGAATCTGCATGTTTTCCTGTTTGTAATCCCTATATTAAATAGGTGTCTCCTTAGTTTGCAGTGTCCGGTTAGTAAGCCGGTAACTATCCTAAGTGAACTCTTCCCTAGTAGTATAAGCTTCTTAAACCTCTTCATGTCATAATTGACGATGAGGGTTTTGGCTTGTCTTTGGCCTGTGGTGTCTTCCCAACAGGCTTGCCTCATATGTACCTCTTCTGTTCTTAGGAAATCTTTGACTGTGTGTCTGCCTATGCCACAGTAAGGCTCGGGTCCTATAAAGGGTCGTTCCGCCCCTAGTTTTGCTAGCCTGTCGGCTAGTTCATTCCCGGATATGTCTTTGTGTCCTGGAATCCATCTTAATGACAGCCTGTTGTTGCTGCCCAGAAGGTTCAGCTTTGTTCTTTTTTCTCGAACCAGCTTCGAGGTGATTCTATTGCTGCATAGTGCAGTAATTGCCGCTCGACTGTCCGAGAGGATCGCAATGTCCTTGTTTGTGTACCCACGCTTCATATTGAGCTCTGCACACCGTCCTATGGCGCAAACTTCAACTTGGAATATGCTGGTGTATTGGCTTAACGATTCATGGTACTTGATTCGTGGTCCTACTACTCCAAGGCCAGTGCCTTGGTGTGTTAAATACCCGTCCGTATACCATGCTATAGTGTGACTCGCCATGGAGTGTACTTCCTTCATGGTGGTCCATTCTTTCTTGTTACTCAGATGAGCAGAGAAATTCTTTTCAAAGATGAATTCTATTGTCATTTCGTCCCTGAGGTGTGAGCTCAGGGGAAGTTCGACTAGTAGTTTTGCTGCATCCCTAGAACCAGTGCCGGATTAGCCATATAGCAGGAGTAGCAAATGCTACGGGCCCCGCGCATTGGGGGGCCCCGCGCGGCCGCGCTCCAACTCCTACCTATCTGATCGTAAAAAAACAAAAAAATTTAGATAGGAACCTAAAAATAATTTGCATGACTTAAGCGTGAAGCGCTTAGGCTATGCTTTACTCCCATCTGAAAATATAAAACTCGATTTCGTCACGTTATATTTTATCCGAAATTAAACCACATTTCTACCCTTCAAGCGGCCAGATTTTCATTTTTTTATATAGGTATACATTTATTATTTTTTTTTTTTTTCGAGGGCATCCGCCAGTTGGATAGAGGCACCTTTCCAATTAAGGGTTCGGACATTCCAGGTGCATATCCTTAAATCATAGTCCATTTTCGTTTTGCGGTGGTCGTCAACATAAGGGGGTATCCTATCCGAGGCTTTCGCTTTGGTCTTCACTGGGCTTCTTTCTTTTACGAGGCGGGTTCCAAACCCTGCGCTCAACCGTTTAACGTCCGGGTGACATCGCTGCACACATTAGCTCACTATCTAGCGGATGCTAAGATAGCTACCCAGGAGGTGCCACGAGGAGGCTGTGTGTCAACTTGCAATCATTCGAAGACAGAGGTCGCTCTGGCGGCCACCAAGTTGACCGCGATCAGAAAACTTTACTCTGTACGAATGAAAGCCATCCCATTTATTTTGCGAGTTTACGTAGCCGAGATTGTACTTTTTTTTTATCGATTTTAATATAATATATATAATTGGTTGATTTATTATAAAATATAGATTCATTTTATGAGTGAATATAGCTGACCTTTTTTTGAATCGATTATCATATCGATCATGTTTCGAGAGTATTGAAAGCTAGTAACGGTAGATTAAGAGCAAGGTGTTTCAGAGTCTCAAGTAAAAAAGGCAGGTAATTTAAACATGAACTATTCAAATTATAAACAAAAAGTTATTCAATTAAAAATTACACATTTTATGTGTTCGTCGACATTTAATTTCCTTGAATATCTTTACTATAAAATAAGTGCTTAAGGTATGCATATTTGGATATTTTGGATTTTAAACGTTTTTAAATTACTAAAGGTAGGTGTAGGTATAATACCTACCACGAGAAACGTT